GTTAAATTTATTATATTTAAAATAAATTATGATAATGACGGCGGAGAGATGTAAGGTCAAGCGACATATTTAAATGTTAACTATCCTATTTGTTATAGGCCAACACGTATGTCTTTACTGATTTGACCTCCTGTTTCAGTATTAAAGAGGGTTCTCTGCTCTTCTTATGTATAAAAAGTCTAAATATTACCGATGACCTCTGGACCTAACACAGTGGTAAATTTATTTTTAGATTTAGAACATTAACAGCTTTCTCTTGTATCGCAAAATTATCCATCAATTCATGCATAAACCGTGCTTGGTAACTTTAGATTCGAAAAGTTGACCGAACAAGAAATCTTACCACTTTCAATGGCGATTATTTTACGCAGGGTTGTCAACAAACGAAAAAAGAGTAATAAAAAAAAATTTTATAATTGAAGATTTTTTATACTAAGATGAAAGTAGATTAACTGAAGTAATTAATATAAACCTTATCATATTAGTAACACTTATTTTTAATTTATTAGTTTTTTTTAATGTTATTGTAGGCAGGGCAGTAGGCTCACCTAATGTTAAGTGATACCGCCGCCCACTCACATTGCCAGAAGGCTCGCAAGTGCGTTGCCAGCCTTTCCGGAATTGGTACGCTCGGTTCTTAAAGGACCCTAAGTCCAATTTGTTCGGAAATACTTCGGTAGGCAACTGGATCCACATAGCGGTGAAGCGCGGCAAAAACTGCCTTAAAAACGCTCAGTAGTGGAACGACAGACGTCGAGGTGATACGGATTGTATTTTTATATCTATATTATTGTAATTACGCCGCTTTAATGGGTTTAAACTTAAATCACTACTACAAAGAGAAGGTCTGGTTCAAATCTTGGCAAATATGCATTTCGGGCTGGTAGACCCTGAAGTCATGTATTCGTGGCAGGTTCATGAATTCGAGGGAACATAATTGCAATTAACAATATGTGAAGGCTTTTCACTATATTGTTCAGAACTAACGAACTTTGAATCGGCTCTTAGCGTTGTTCTTCCAAAAGTACAACCTTCAGTTAGAAAGAAACTCTACAAAAAAGAGCAGTACGCTCTCAAAGGCCGGTAACTCGTCCATTATTATTGCGCAGACTCCTTTGCCTCCGTATTTTATAAATAATAGAAAACTGCGCTGCGGTGTTGTAGTACATCGTAACTAAACGTGGCACCCCTATCTTATGTATAAATGCCGGCTTCTATATACAAACTGCATAAAACTGGTTTTGCGTCACCTCAGTGATTTTGTGCGTACCCAAGAGGCAGGAACTTTCCACATTGCAGCGAGGAACTTTTCTTTTTAATTAAACACAGTCACGATGTTCAAATGATTAGAACCGGAATTCTAATTATAACGAAACCTTTTTACATAATGTATTACTAATTGTTTTTTTGTAGTTAAGAATGGTCATTGTAATTACTTTTCAAGTTTTAAATTTAAATAAAGAACAATAAGTTCCAATGTTAAGAAAAGGTGGACGTCATGTTCAGGTTCCTACAAGGAAATCTAGTCAGGGAATCCTATTGTGCGGGCTAGAGCTTTTTTTTAAATAAATCATCCTTTTTTAATGTGGGAAAAAATAATTTTGCTTTCTTTCATTTAAAAAAATTTTTCAGCACTTAAAAATTGTTACTTCCGAAATGAATTAAAAAATTGAAGAGTTGCAATTATATTCACAGCTCATCTGCTGTACGTGGAAAGTAGCTACCAGCTCTAGCGTTTGTACTGTCTTTCACCAGCTAAGAAAAAAAAGAACTTTTTCCTTACATTATGTAAATCTTACATTATCACGAATCAGTCATGTTCTGAAGGGACTAGAGATACATCATACAATATGAATAATCTTACATGCACGAGTGTTGTTTTAGTCGGATTAATTCGTTTATTTTTAACAACCTCTGGTGTCATTGACAGTGTTGCTGCAAAAAATTATTAAAATGTTTATACGGATTTTAATTGGGAATGTAAACTAAAATGTCCAGCACTAGGATGAGATAAGGTCACAGATTGATTCAAGGGTCCATCACATATATCCAGGCGTAGTAGACGTATTTCTGAGTCATATTTTTTTTCGTGTTATTAATCTTATTAAGCTTCAAACTCCAAATACTTGTTTAGGATTCGTAACAAAAGCCTCTATGATAAACCAAATGCTAGCCGATTTTCATGTTGCTAGGCGTTTAGTGATTTCGTCCCAGTCGTAGTTTTGATCCTCGGCTGTACGCCAATAGACTTCTATGTGCACATTCGCTCGCATGATGAAGGCATGATCTGGCATGCCTCTTTTTAGATCTAAACCCGAAAAGTCGACAGCGTGTCATGTATGTAGCTGATCACCGACTTGTCTATTAAGATAAAATAATAAATGACCACGAAACAGATACAGAGATTTGAGGCCTACCTAAAAAGGTAGGCCCAATTGGGTTTTTGGGTTTCTAAGAGTAACTCAATTCCCAAAGCATTCATTTAATCTAACTCATGAAAAGTTCATGTTCCAACAAAATAAAAGCAGCTATTTTAAATAATTATAATATATCTTAAAACACGCAACTCTTGGAAATTTTTTATCCAATTAGCTAACAACTGATATCAGGAAGTAAAGGGCAATAATCCTTCTTTACCTTCTGATTAAATCTGTGGTGAATTTATTTTAATCTTTAGATAGCTCAATGAACGTTAAAACTTAATGAACGACACTCATACAATGATCCTAACTTAAATTGAAATTATTCGTGACTGTACATCGACTATTATCCCTTAGGATTGCATTTCTTTGGCCACGGGAACGAAAGTCGTAAAAGGTTATGGCACGTGATAGAATTTCACTGTGTTGCCATATATAGCTATAATATTTGCCAAGCTGACAAACAATACAACACGAGAAAAACATTACTATTCACATTTCTTCAAGTATAAAACTGTCCCCACGTTTTGTGAGCTATGCAGATTTTCGGTAAAAGTGTATTTTGTTTTGTGCACAACTTTTGTTAAATACTAGCTGTCCCCGCGAACTTATTTTTTTAAAACTAGTTTTTAGGTTTTTCTGTGCAATTTTTTAAATTTTTCTCTCCACATACTTTCCTGAGAGTTCAAGGAATAAATTAATAAAAATACTCGAATAGTCCAACCGTCCTCGAGTTTTGTGCCTAGCAACATATTTTTCGATTCATTTTTATTTAAATATTAGATGAAATAACCGATGGCACAATCGGCTTTAAAAGTATCAATCAAGTATATTCTTGGACATAGAGAAATATATATATATATATTTATTACTATGGTGTGGCACTCCAGACCCTCAGTAGGTTTTAGTGTCTGAATTGCGTTTGAAACAATAAATGAAATAAAAAAGTATTTCAACCGGCCAAATGCCAGAGTTAAAAGAATAAATCAAATCATACCACGATTTGACGTGGGTAAAAATAACTCGCATATCCACATAGCCGAAAGAAAAAATAAACATAATGGTGACTAATGAATCTCATACTGCTTTATAAAGAGGCTTGAAAAGATGTAATCACATGTTCTGACGATGGTCGATTCAGTTTTTGCTCCGACGCAATGTTGTATTGTATTCATATGTATCGGAATCTTCAATAGGTTTTTGCAAAATACATTCGAAAAGTTATGGAAATACATTGGTGTTCATTTGAATAATAGTTACGAACTTTGTATGAATGATGTATCTTGGACTCAGATATATGCCGTTTCGTCGATATTTTTTCTATATTTTAAGTTCAGGTACTCTACGCACTTTACGTGCCAGACATACCTCTTCGAATTTTGGGTCTAAGGGTAAGATTCGGACATGAGTCTATACCGGTTTCTTAACGATATTTTCCTTGAGTATGTGTTAACTTTACTTATAACGCAATAAATATATATTTTGGATTGAAATAAAGCTTTTTGTTTAATTTTAGTGCGGTTTAACTGATTTAATCAAAGAAAATTTATATTTAATTTAAAGTTTCGCTAATCCCAGTAAGTGCGATGGCAGAAAAAATTGAAAAACACACATTTCTGTGTTTATTTCACTGATTTTATTTACACAAGTCGATCATTATCTTTCCTACTGTTCCAAAGTATAATAACCAAGACTTCTGCGCAAAACGACTTTAATAATCTGATGCGCGATGTTTTTAATAGTTAATCAGAAACCCTTTTCTAATTAAATTTGATAGACGTGAAGGTCGAAAACGTTGATTAGACATAATACAACATTATTACTTCGTTATTGTATGTCTTCGTATTTGTTATGTTGTTAGAAAACAGCCAGCGGATGAGAATTATTTATTACTTATATAAAGTAAAAAGTATATCAAACCATCTTTCACATTCGACCCGTTGCTCGTAAAAAATAACAATTTTTTTCATGTTTGGTTACCTGATTAACCGGTATCGATTTTATGTAACAATAAACAGTTTTAGCCAAAGTTATACGACGATCAGTGGCGTAACAATAGGGTGGCAGGGCTGGCAAAATGCCACGGGCCCCCGACCCAAGAGAGCCCCTGCCCAAGAGATATTATGTTCTATGGATGAATGTGAGGTCTCCAATACGCATTGGGCTAACGTGGGGACTACAGAGTACATACGATTCCCTATCGCCTAAGAGAGGAGGCATATGGCCATTAGTGGGACATATACAACGTGTAATTGAGTACGCTGAGAATCTCGAAGTTTATTAAAATTAAACTGAGTAGAGACGATTTTTACTGATAGGGCCCCATCAAAAGAATTGCCACAAAAGAAGATTTGCCACGGGCCCCAGATGGTATAGTTACGGCACTGACGACGATATATACAAGTCTACTTAAATAATCACAGCCAGGAGCGTGTGTGTTAAACTTGTTAAAGCAAAACTAATGAATTAAGAATGTTTCTTGTATGAGGATGCACGCTAAAGAAACTCGTGCTATACATTATACATAGACAGACACAAGCATTTACGACCCTTCCTGCTTTGTAATTAAAGCTGGTCGATATGTTCAAAGATAATCTGAATCAATGTGTGGAAACGAATGCAGCCTTGTTTCCGGTACAAGCAGGTGCAGAAACTATGGTTTATTAAACGTGTTTTATGTGAACTCTGATTTCTTACTATATAATAAGGCGTTGTTGTAATCAACCTGCGCCGTCTGGTGCTTTTTTAAAACCCAGTTGCTAATACATATATATTTATATTCTGACTTGATTTAGACTTTATGGACAGAAATATTGACAAACTACAGATAAAGAAATTTAACTAAACAGGAATTACATTTTAATGCATGCTTTGATTTTGACGTAAAATAGATCTTACAGATTATGTAATCATAATTATCGGGTGTCGCGACGATCCCCTAAAAGGTCTTGGCTTTAGATTGCATGCGTTTAGTTTTGTTTTCTATAGACAAGTAGCTAATCGTCCTTTTGTACTTGACACAATATGTTGTCTATTTTTGAGACTTAGGTACATATTCTAGTTCGTTAGTAAAGTCAAAACCTCTTCTTGAAAGTTGTCAAATGTGTCAAAGTCATATAGAATATCTGGTTTGACAGGTATATATACATAGATATAGGATAGTATTCAAATTACATCATAAAATCTTGCAATATTAGTCTAGCAACTTTTTTGTAACTCATAAATCACCGGATAAGCCCTTTTAATTAGGTAAACGGTTTTGTATACTTGTTTCTTACATGCAATAAAATCTAGGTCTCATATGTTATAAACATGCTATGACTACATTGACGCGGATGAAGTCGCAGGGTACGAGTTGATACAATTACTTTTTGTTTGCTTCCTTAAATCTTGTAAAAAAATTATGGACGATTCGAAAATAGAATACTATTTGCTATTATTATAAAGTTATATTTATCTTAATTATTGGACGGTCACAGAGTGTTCATTGACTTGACTTCTATCTGTATAAAAATCTAAGACCTTCCAAGAACATCTCGGTAATATCATTCCTAACTATACTTCCGGGTAACGATTTATTAACAAGTGTTTTCCGTATGAGTCAGCTTCCGTAGATCTGTGAAAAGCATACTTGTAATGACTAACGGAATCTTTTTTTTACTACAAACAAAAGATTTCTATAAATGAAGAAATTAATAAAGGTTGAAGGTGCAAAGTTAACAATATAGTTGATTTGTGTATCTGTTCCATTATTATAAATTGTTTTTTTGTATGTTTGTGTAAACGCAAAATTACCCATATGAATTCCTTTAATACTCCCTGATTAATACAAAAATGCGTAATCCATTTGTGCACAGCCGTTCAGGGTTGAGAGGCGCATGCTCAAGGCATTGGTCCAAAGTGCTCGTTCTGGGTAACATAGGCTAAATTTATTACAAATTAAAAAAAAACAGCCTCATGAAGTTATTCTAATAAAAAGTAAAAGTTATAAATGAGAATAAACGGGTAGTGAACAAAGCAAGACTAATAAAAACATAATAATAATAATAATAAATTGGGAAATTGAGTAACGAAACAGAGGAAGACTGAAGACGAGATGGGCGGATAACATTACTAAAACGGCTGGCTCTAGCTGGATCAAACTCACCCAAGACTGAGATACCTGGAGATCCTTAGAGGAGGCCTTCACCTGCGGAAGGATTCTTCCAAAATAATAAGGAAATATATAAAAATAGGAAAAAAAAAATTAGTGTAATTTATTTTCTTAAAAATATGTAATAAGATTAAGTTTATATATAAACTTAATCTTATTAATATAATAAATAACTATCGCAGTTACGTCCCTAGTATGTAAATTGTACATGCATTAAGGTATCTAATTGATGTAAATATCTTTACTAAGAACCTGTTTAGTATGCAGTACTCTAACCAAGAAAATTTAAAAGTATGAGCTTTCTCCAACCGCAAATTTACATATACCGAAAAAATGTTGTAAGCAACGTTTTTCAAAAATATAATGTTTGAAATTATTAACGTTTTTAGTATGTTACTAAATATGTACGTCAGTACATAAATTAATCAATAAATCTTTTTATAAATTTGACGATTATTTAAAGGATCCTTGGCATTGATGTACTACAGTTCCAACAATTTGTATGACTCAAAACTTGGCGATTAAAAAGAGTGGCGGAGAGCTTCTTGTTAGTTCTTCTTGCCCGCTCTACGCCGTTGACCTGCGAACTGGTAGTAAATGTAAATTTAGAATAAATTTAACATCTTTTCTGTTGACGTTCATAAGTGTACTATACCTATATGAATAAAGTTATTTTGTGTTTGAGTATTTATATCCAAATGGCTGAAAATAATATCAATGAAATATCATCCTTAATGGCAGTCGTAGCGGTCCCGTATCTGAGCATCTCTCAATTTTGAATTGTGTGATCTGTGGCCTTATTACATGCACGACACAAAGCCCCGAAAACATGACTGCCTCGAATGCCTTAACTGAACAGAAATAAGGCTGTCCCATACTCCAATGCGCAGTTACAAGACTTCCTACAATGCGTCATTAATAGAACTTTAATGAAAATGTATCTAATGAATGTGTCCGTAACTTCTAAGTTCAAGTCTCATACCTATTTAGGTGCATGTCGTGTCCTAAGTAAGGAATACTCTAAGGGCCACAGTACGTGCTGCGAGGCCATTATTATAATCAGTCCATAACGATATAAGGACATTAGGTACATATTGGTAATACATATTAGTATATGACAAAGTTCTAAATTACGCCGTCGGAAAATTTTTAAAAACATCCGATGTGTTTTTTTACATTTATTAAAAATAGTAAATTATTTGTAGGTACTTTATTTTCAAATAGTTTTTGAAATAACTTTTTTTGTCTATCGATCATTTGATTGTTTAAATAATGTATCGTAGAGAGAGATCTTAGTTAATAAAGTAAAAACAAATAAAATTGTAGCTAATCATTACATAATGAAGAACCCTTTGTGAATTCGCGTACATCACATATAACCGCTTAGGTTCGATTGCCGGTAAACAATAATCGTTTCAAGTTAGTAGGCACAGAAGTCTGACCTATGTGGCTTAAACAATATCAGTAAAACAGACGCTGAAATTACTTCACAATAAGTTTTTGATAAAAAAATATCTCAATAGAAAAAACTTTGAGATTATATTGTGAGACGAAAGGCGGCTTAAAAGTTTATGTGTTCAGTCGCTAAATTGGTGTGAATATCGATCTTGCGCGCAAAATGCGCAAATCCATGATGAATGACACACTATAAATCAGTCCATTTACTTTCACTCCTTTATGAGGTTACAGTGTCTAGAGGTTTAGTGACTCACGAGATCACGAGGTGTTAATCGTAAATATTTTAAGAAACTTGTACCCGATTTCATAAACCGTTAAAGACACAACTCCTGCTGACACTCTTTAGTCGGCTGTCACTAAAAAGTTTTCAATATTTACTTTAGGCCATGCTAAGTGGCAGCGTCTACTTGTTGTAATCTATTTAGAATAAAGATAACGGTGGATACGATAGGTCAAAAGTTTATGTAATAAACCAGTTGCGAAAGCAATTTGATGTTTGGGAATTAGATATATTAACACTTATCGGGTCGGGTGTTGAATGTGTATTTTATGATAGGTGTAAAACGTATTTGAGAATGGACAGACAAGAGACTCCAACTTGTAATATTTAAGCTTGAATGTAAGTGATACCAGCCCATAAACGCCCACGAGAAACTGTGCTTTCATTTGTTTCGAAATAGGTTACATAAATCGACATTTTGTTATTTAAATTTTATTTTCATTCTTATTGAAAAATTCTTGCTTTTATGTTGTAATATTACTCGAAGAAATTTCGTTAACCGAGTCAGTTTAGGTATGGTAATAAATGATATTAAATAAAAAATTGTTATGGCTTGTCTGGAGGTTTTAAATTAAGTCCATTATATTTGAATAGATTTATTAACATAATGGGTTTAAGTGTAAACTGTAAACGAAATTAAGTTAACACAATTTTACGCGAAGGACTTCAGATGTCTAAAAATAAGGTGAAATAAGTACGATGTGGAGTTCGGCTATCTTTTAGAATATAAATTTTAATTTCCACAAACTCAAGATCAATACTTTTTCCAGTTGTTAAGACGTGTGATAGTCACATCTCCGCGCAAGACATTCCACCAAATCTCATGAAGGAAGTAGAGGATAACAGTCGTTACAAGACATTGGAAGCAAACGCCACATTGTTAAAACTTCTTGTGGATAATAAAGATGGCGTGAGCAAGTATGTATTTTATATGATTTTTGTCAATGTTTAAAGGTGCCTGGACTGTCTCAATAATTTTAGTGAAAGAGACATAGTGTGAGGTATCATAAGCTTTTTGATATTTTATTTATTCAAGTAGGTGATCAGCCAATTAGGTATGCTGGAAACGTTACAAATTTTTGGGTTAAAAATATACTGGTTTTTATCCTTCAATGTATGGGCATAGAGTGAATAAAGTCGACATAAAGTTTTAGAAACCACGCTATACCAGGGTCATATTTCAGGCGAATTTTTGTTGTAAGCTTTGTAAACGACAGAAAATTAATGTCACAATAAAAATAGGTTTAATAAATTTATATTTGTTTAGATCAGAAGTATTCGACATGTTGCATTCGAGGGATGAAGTTGCGGAACATATCGACCTCCCTATCTTTCCAGAAGATGCTGAAGAGGGCCGCGTTGATGTTCCTATCATACCTGACTCACAGGCCGAGTTCTTACAAGGTAAATTTAAATATTTAAACATTTAAACCTTAAATTATTATATGTTTTTCACATTAGTCACGGTTGCGTAAAACACTTAATGAGTTCTGTAAACGAACATTACCCACTGACTCATTTTAACACGAGTAATCGTAATTGTTATCGTCCGTTTACCTACACGCGATTTCATGAGTATATAATATTATACGTACAACGTACTACATTGTCTTTTAGTGACACGCCTATTATGAGTACACTTTTTCATACAGCAGAAACTCGATATCGTTGCATAGTAATAATAATATTCATTAATTACTTGTCTAAGATGAGTGTATCGTGTAGAGCGATTCTCAACCCTAAGGCCCTGCTCAAATCCCGGCTGCACGCGAATGGGTTTTTATTTTGTAGACCCTAAAACTCGTGACAAGCACAGATTATTGATCACTTCGTTACTTAGTAGACTGTAAAGAACATAATCAATTAAACAAACTTAGAAATCTGAGGTGAGTTTGTGAGCTATGGAGGGAAAACAAATTTAATTTGCATTTTCTAATGGCCTCAAACCATATCATAAAACCTGATAAGAGCCAAGAGGCTGATTGCATATGGGTAAAAAAAGATAAATCTGAAGTCAAGACTAAATGTTTGTTTTACCTACCACTGTATTATTATTTTGCTGAAGAGTGGAGGAAGTTGTGCGGCGCCACTAACGCGACCTTCAGAAATGAACAACGCGAATGAATGTTAATATTTACTTCTTGATGTCTTATGGTAAAAAAAAACAACATTTAAGTAAGTTCTCGCGCGCTCAGTGATTTCAAAAATAAAATAGCCTCATTGTGGGTTATAACAGTCATTTGTTTTGCATTGAACTCTTATGAAGAAATTAATTGATATTTCAGCTGGTGAGATAGTTCGTAAGGACTCAGAAGAAATGCAGTACTCAGAGGAGCCGGTTGGAACAGCAGCTGGTATTATGGTACTCGTAACCCTCACCATCGTGTGTCTCGCTTACACCGCTCTTATTGTATGGAGACGGATATACTTGTAAGTATTTTGTGCCTACTATGCATACAATAGACATTTTGTATGTATGACTACTAATGAGGTCTTAATTGTGTAGACAAGTTTAAAAAGTTACGTATCTCCTTGTTTTGTTTCACACGAATATTTCTTTCATTCAATTGATTTATCGACATATACATAATATATATTTGGACCACATAATTAAAACAAACACTAAACAAAACATATATTGTATCATAAAAAGAAATAAATTGACATACATACAAAAAATATGAAAAGCAGTGCCGTCCCTATAACATGCGGACACGACCAGCGAAATCAAGTAGGTACAAAAAACAGTGACAGTACAAACAACAATAAAATAAACTATTTGAATCAAGAATTGAATTATTGGTACTGTGTCCTAATTCTACTAAGCCGAGGCCAGGGAAACATGAAACACGTCAAAACTGTGCAATGTCATTATGGTAGCAACATAACCTATTAATTGGAGAGTTTCTGCCAACCTTTGTTCTAAGTTGGATGTGAAAACATCCTCGATTATATTCATTTACCAGATTAATAGATAGATCTCACATTTTAATCTAGTAAAACAGTATCTAAAACGGGACCTAAGCATGTTTTTAAATTTCAACAAAAATCTCTTAATATCTTATCTTTATCAGTTAGCAGGAAGTCACAAAAGATGTTATCGCTTATCAAGAAGCTGTATTCTTTACATAGATAGGTCCGTTAAAATTAAATGCAATTTGGGTTTAGATCACGAGACTCTTTGGTATAATTTTGCTAAGTCACAAGAGATATTTTGTTTTATATTCAGTACCTAGGCGATATTTATTTATTTGCTCAACGGTATTCCTACAGCTACTTACTAAAGAATATTTAAACAATTACACTGTTCACAAAAGCCAAAAACGGCATACACATTTAAACATACACAAAGCACAGTTTCACAATAACAATTACATTTCTACAATTTTATGAATATTTTATTACGTAGAATCTATGAATCGTGAAACACTTATAGGCACATATCTAGCAATAAAAACATCAATTTAAAACACTTGCCATGGTCCAATAAAATAAATCAAAACAGGAGATAAAATGTTGCATTCCGTGGTGATATTTTCAGTCATATCAAACCATAAATAAGCAAGTATTAAATATCCTCATAACTCACGTTACCGTATAAAAACCCGTAGTTTCTCAGCATGAAGCCAAGTTGTAACTCGATCCTGCGCGCGAGTGCGTAGGAAGCGGTCAAGAGCGACGGAAACGCTAACGTCCCGTAAACTCGTAATTTCTTCACTTTATTTGGTTAACTGGCTATTTTCCCATCGTCTACACTGTAAATACTTAAACCCATATAGATATTGTCATTCTTGAGTCTGTGGGTGAACTGGTCACTCGATGTCATAGTTTGTGCTAAGAAGTTAATATGCCTTAAGTAGTAGTTATTATAATTACACTATTTTTTTATTTACTATTTAGACGAAATTAGCGCATATACATAACATAAATATATATTACATCTATTTCAGTAAAAGCTTACTGAAACTATTTCATTTTCGCAACGTTATTTAATTATCTATTAACACTTCGTTACTTTATTAATACAAAAATAAAAAACATAATACATAAAAGTTATAAGAGATGCAACAGGCGGCCTTATTGCTAACATGAGATACCAGGCAACCCTAGTCAAGGAAAAAACTAAAAAAAGAAATATGAAATATGTGCAAGAAGTGCCTACCCAAATCTAATACATTTAAACTTATTCATATAAAATTCTATAAAAACTTAGTAATATCAAGAAATCACAACTTAAAATCGGAAGTCGGAATCACTATCTATCGTTGCTGGATATTTCTGTAATGTATTCCTTAAGTTGGAGTGAATCCCCAGAGTAATGTGTATCTGTTCCATTGATATTTTTTCAAGGCCAGTAGGTAATCCAGCCTTCTGTATTTTCGCCAGATAAAGTCAGCCAAGTCCTTAATTACCTAAGCAGAAGCTGTTAGTCCAAACAAAGTACGTAACTGCATAAGACTGTTCATTTATGTCTAAAATAATAATTACTTTTCAGGAAGAGAAATGGCCTTAAACATGAGCTATTAAGAAATGAGGAACTCATTGCCGAGACTAGGATAGAGGTATGTTAACGCCGTAAATTGTATAGTTTTATAAGATAAGTAATAGCACTTGAATTGTTGAGAGCAACTTGCATACAAAGTCGTTGGCATCGGTATTGCTATTGAAATTGACAGACTACCGGCATTTACCGGTTATTTCCGAACCAATTCGACTGAGGGTCCTTCTTGAGAAATACGTACCAATTCCTAAAGGGCTGGCCACGCACTCGCAAGCCCTCTGGCATTGAGTGTCCATGGTCGGTATCACTCAGCAACAGGTGAGGCTCCAGCCTTGTTTTGCATTTTTTAAATTTTTTTATATTGCATACATAATATTTTTAAAATTTTTTATAGTTTCTTATACTTAGATACCTTGTATAGTTACGGGTCTCATGTTAAACTCTTCTGTTTTATAAATTGACAATATAGTTTATTAAATTTTAAAATTTAACGACTCAATTTTTTTGTTCTAGTTGTGAAAAAAGAAACCGTTTGATAGAGATCAACGGTAGCTCATCAACGTTATCTTCGAGGAAACTGGGAACCAACTAAAGACTGATTTAAGACATTACTATCATCGTTTGATTTAATAAGAAAAACATGCGTTTTTTTACAAAAATATTAATACCTATATTAGGAATACCGTCCTCAGTAATATATATGTATAAAAATAAGTAAAGTAATCTTTAAATAAGAATGAACTATTTGTATTATTTATTTGTAAAGAACATGGCACTTTACATTAAATTTAGTTCATATACTAACACTAAAGCCCTTTGAATGTAGCTATGTCAAATACTCCCGTTAGGTCAAGACAAGATTGTGACGCGAGGTACGAATTGAAATACGGTGTTGAATAAATCTTATTCTTCAAAGTATCCAAGTAGGAGAACATGCTATATGTATAGAACAAATTTGCATTTTATTTTCAGTTGGCAACTACCACATTTATACATTTTCTACTTACTGATAGTTATTTACAGTCACATTAATAAACTATTATATTGAAATACTATTTCAAACAGCAATTAAATGTACTGTTATCACTTTTATGACTCTGAGTATAGTCTTGTTACATTCATTTACACTCTGTGAAGGTTTATGAATAAGACATCTAGTATGTTATCTTAATGTTAAGTTAAATATTGGTTTTGTCAAATATTTATATTGAATTCTGTTAATAAATTCTTAAGGACGTGCCATAAAGGACGTATAGTGTGAGAGATTCATTATTTATTAACTCTAACTATGTCTGTGATTTGATTATTTAATATGGAAGTAAATAAAGTGATACAAGTGATAAAAATCTTTATTTAAAAAAAACTGATAACAATGAAATACTGAGGGTTAAGTAACGAAATTGGAACACTAATTACAATATTTATTATTTCACAGTTACACTTACATATACTTGTTATAGACAGAATATCAAAACCATAAACTTGAATAAAAAAAATTGTATAATTTTTCAAATAAAAAGAAACAATAAAATATAAACCTGATTTTCTAATACAATTCATATAATTAAATACTCAAAATGCATTATTACTTAGAGAACTCAATTATGTTTATGGTTTTGACCAAATCACAATTTTATCACAAATTTGAACTAGGCTATTGATCTGTTAAAAGTGTTGTTTGTTCATTGCTGTTGCTTGTGTCGGACAACTACTGGGCCAACATTATCACAGGTTTCCTTGTTATGGGAACCATGAGCACCATCACAGTATGGCCACTGAAATGGTATAAACTCAATGATTTAAAGTCTTTAAACTTCATTCATAAAAAGGCTTTTTAAGAAATTTTTTACTATTTAGTTATAACTGAGAATCAGCAACCCCCAGTGCAGCATCAACCAAATGTAAAAATAATTATGCGGTTGAATAGCTTCATCTTAAACTTAAATTATACACAATGATTTCTTAAAAGAATTCGAGACAAACACAAATTACTTAAAACTTATAATCTAGGAAGAAGGAAAAAAACACAAGAATATAAAATACAAACAAGCAAATATAAAAGTATGATAGTTTTTATATTAGTTTACCATTATTAAAACTTACATTTTTGCTTTTCCAGCATCTACATAAGGAAGCTTTTTCAGTAATGTCTTCAATATCAATGAAATCAACTACTTTATTCAAATCCTTTCTAATTAGATGGTTGATTTGTCCAGCCTCTCTTGCTTTTTTTACTGTTTGATAGGAAACATAAGAGATTCCACCAATGGCTAATGTTGGTGGCACCAAAGCCAACCAGTCACGGACTGAAAAAAATATATCATATGTGGAGTTGATTTAAAAACAAAACTAAGCATGCATATGCATAATCCAACAATGCTAAAAGAGTACTATTATTCTAAAATAAATTTTAATATAAAAGATATTACAATTTAAGCAACCAAAATGTACCAGAACTAGAGAGAATATCTTGAACAAATGTAAGGTAAATGATTTTATAATATAATTGCTATCTAAGTATGTCAACAACCTTGACATCTTACCATGCTTATTTCATTCTTGTAATTACGTTCTTTCATAAAACAATTAGTGGTAAATTGTTTGTACCAACTAAAATTTTTTATAGCCTAAAAATCATTAGGTATTGTTTAATCTCAACAAGGAGTATACGATATTTTTGCCAATGATCAATATCATACAAAAAAACAGTAAACTTACAGCTTAGGCGAAACCATCCACCGAAGGAATCCGGGATAGGCAAGCCAGCTAGGTAGTTGGGAATGGTCACTTTCACAACGTTAGAAATAAAATACATTTTATATTAAATTTATTACACCTTTACCCTATTGAAACTACGAAATACGAATACTTTCTAAGTTAGTTGTGATTAGTGATTACGTTAGTGTTACACAAAAAAATTTGATTGATAAATTCAAGTGACAATTGATGTACTACATATACAAATCTTTTAACCACCCAAATCTTGACAATTATTAGTTATCTGTATGGCCAAGAATAAAATAATTATAGTACAGATTATATATTATTATTATATCTTTAAAAGTCTGAATTAAGTAGTCTTTAATCTTATCCACATAAACTAACTATTTTATAGTACATTTAGCTAAATCCATTTTTTCAATTGAGATTCTAATTCGTTATATTATAAGATAAGAAGGATATTGATCGAATCTATCCTTTCATTACTGTGGTCGAACTATTTATTTTATATAGAGTATTCAGTAATCAACTGTCACTGTCATTTTATAATTGTCATTTCTCTTGGATGGGTGCGCTTGGATGTCGCTATTCGTTGTAATAATTTTATGATTACTTCTGAATATTTTTTAATAATTTTTGTAAGTTGTATCCATCTCTTTTTTACGTGATTGTGCAAAAAGTGCTCATAGTGTATTTCGTTTTAATAATGCTATCCAATGCATCCTTGCACTGAATATGGCTGAGGAAAGACTTGTAGTTCTAAACCGAAGTGACAACTTAGGTTTCGGATTTTCTTTGCTGAGTGAAGCCGGTTCGCCTCACATAATTTACAAAATTGAAGAAAATTCTCCAGCAGCACGCAGTGGCGAGGTAAGAATCTATATCATTACTAAGAAATACAACTTTTTTATATCGATAATGTTTTGTTATTTTTTTGATATTTTTATTAGACTATACCGCAGTATATAAAATAAAGCCAAATATTTAATTTTATATGACATCAATAGGAGTGAACAGTATTGTAATGTAACACTCAAAGAAGACATTATTATGAAAGTAAGCTACCTCTTGTCTGGGATTTTATTAGCAGCAGGTCTTCATAAAACTCAATATTACTCCATCATAGATGACTCCCATATAATTGTGGCATCATTAAATGTTATGTTTAAATTAGGTTTACAAATAATATTTATAACTCAAAACAACTTACATAGCTATTATATGTCCCAAATTATTAATACACAATAGTAATAAGAGTATTTAAGTTCTCATGCAGGAAATTAAAAATTTCATTATTTTCTTACATTTGTCTGTAAGTCATGTGTCAATTGCAAAATATATATATTATAACCACTTTTTATTTTTAGTAGTTACAAATAAAAGCCATAATCAAGAATTGAATTGAATTTTTAGTCGTTAGACTGTCAGTAATGAGATGAACAGAGGTGTAAATTCTTTTATTTATAGCCACTAAAAGCCTTTTATGAAATGCAGTATTAGACTAATCATCAATATATTTGATAAAAAATTTAAAATTAGTCATGCAATTAATTGCAACCCAGGATGTAAACAATGAAAATCAATATAACCTTTAATTATTAAATAAAACCAAGAGTACATGGTTAAGCCATGACATATGTATCTGTATTACTCTACTGGCAGCTAATATGCTTACTGAAATTAGGCTTCATAAATTCTTATCACAAATTGCTGTATATTAAACATCAACTGACATTGCAATTATTTAATGTATTCAGGACTTAATTAAGAATGTACTTGTCCTACCCATTTTGGAAGTTGCTGTTGTTAACCATGAAATGGAAGCTAAAATGTCATATGTGGAGTTGATTTAAATTCAATTAAATTCTTGTAATATATATTCATTGCTTCTCCTGTCCACTATAAGATTTATTAAAGGATCAGTAAAGATTTGTGTCAGGCCACATTTAGCAGTGATTTTCTATTGAACAGTGATTGAGTGTGATTAATTATGATGAATAATATAAATCTATATTGGGCATATGTCCAATTTTGTTTTGACCAAGGTGAACTGAAAGGATTGAATTTCAAGGTTTGGTTAATGGAATTTATAATATGCTTGCAAGTTCAAGGATATATTATGACTTGTAGTTTTTCTTGGAGATAAAAACGTAAAGGTTTAATTTAATAAAAAATTAAAGAAACATATATTACAATTCGGGCTTTCGTGTGAAAGGATTTGATTGGGCAACGTTAAGTGTCTTATTAAATGTATCTAAGTACTTAGGTCACACTAAGGCGTCTGGATGACGCACTAGACGACGTCACTCGAGATAGATATGAATTTACCCAATTATAGTCTATGTCCTATGAAGAGAAGGGCTTTCGAGATACTTTCATACTACTATTTTCACAAAAAGAAATTAAAATTTATTCACAAATAGGTATAAAGAAAAGTATAAAGTTGAATGATGCAAATAAAAAAGTATCATAGAAATTAACAAGTGAATACGGGACAATGTATACAATTTAGCAGTCTAAAAATAATTCGCACTATGACCTCTATATTACTGCTAGGATACAAACGCAATTCCTTCAAAGGGAAAAATCAAAGGAAAATTACGCAAAGTATGTAAGACTTAAGTGAATTCTTGTTACTTTAGTCTTGACCCCATAAAAGAAGCCTTAACCTTAAACTAAACTTATGCTTATCATTGCAACAAGATTGCTCAGAAAAGCTATTGTGTTTATATATCAAGACATTAAAACTGTGAAAAAGAAGCCTGAAAACCAGTTTTACAAACGAGTGCGAGCGGCGACTTTTTCAGTACTTATTACGTCATTCTGTCCATCTGCCCACTTTAGCCAGAGAAAATTAAAACAACGCTAAGTAGGGCGTAGTATTTTAAGAAAGAAATAAGTTACTGAGAGCTTTTTATTTGTAGACAAAACATGTGACGTCATTGGAACTGCTTTTCCAGTCAAGACAATAGCCTACTTTACGGCTCCGTTTATAATGTAAAAACATCTTACATTTTGCGATATTTTTCAGAACACTTTGAAAAGATTTAATTCGCAATTCATTAATATCAGAGTACGTCTCTCCACACAATTTTGCGACCTATTTAAACAATTTTCTTTTTAATTTCCCTTAATTAGGTAAAGCTTTTTAATTGTTTTAATAAATTCAGGTTGTATACCGTTCCTCTAATGAGTGCAAAATGTTTATCGAAGGAGCAGTGGGTATCTACAATAGTTATTTCCGTTTTTTACAAAAAACACACGCTAATTATGAAGTTTTTAACTTTGTTTGGGAGTCTCGATGAAATTATTGAAATCAAGCTTGCAAGAAGGGGAAACAATTTGTGAATAACAGGCAGCGTTTTTGCAACTTGTTAAATTGGCGCCTACATCTTACTTGTGAAGGGAAGATACAGAATAAGTCGTTAAATCACGCTTGCCTAATATACCCATTCTTTCTTCCCCAAAACGTCAAACGTTCTTTATGAAGTTGTGAGGTTGTTATCCGATAAAATCAAGTGACAGTGAAACTAAGCGGTCTGGTGACATGTACTTCCTGATAAAGCAAAGCCGATAGAAAGGCTGTCAGACAAAACACTAACGAGGTTAGTGCCTTATCAAACAAAAAAGCGTAAGACCCTTTCGGTTTTCCAATAACTCATTATGGCTCAATCATGCAAACGAGCACGTATGTTTAAATGGAAAAAAATTTTTTTCCTTTTTTTTTGGTTAATTTCCCAAATGGGTTGTGGGGGGGGGACTATGGGACTGTTACGTTATTAATAACGTTTTTGTAAATTTCTAGAAGCATGCTATACATGGTCTTCACATATAATTATCAAATCAATGCATGCACAAGTATTGTAAAAACTATGTTAAAAGTGTAAGTATGGAGTTTCTTGCCCATTCTTTTCCATATGAAACTACATTTTTTAATTTTGACTTTCAAAAGTGCCTTTTTAATATGCCAAATTGAAATTATTGATTTGACTTTAAGGATAAATGGAATATGGATACATTAAAGGAATGACAATTATTTTACCAGAGTTACGCAATTTCTAAAATCTTTTTATGCTCAATTGATAAACAGTACTTCGAGTGATTAATTATTAAAACGACTATTGTAGGTAAATATTCTGAATACGTTAGAACGTAAGTATCTATAAAAATAGCGATGAGAAATAGACTCGCAACTGGATATCCCAAGCAAATGATATGTTTTATAGTATTAATGTAACCGCGTAACGTAATTGTATTATTATAGTTACGGTGCACTTTAGTTTTTTATAAAAATAAATAAATAGATCAGCGGCGCTACAACCTTTTTAGGTTTGGGCCTCAGATTTCTGTATCTGTTTCATGATCATTTGTAAATCTAATAGGCAAGTAGGTGATCTGCTTCCTATGCCTGACGCACGCCGTCTACTGTTTGGGTCTAAGGCACGGTTTCCTCACGATGTTTTCCTTCACCGTTCGAATGTTAAATGCGCACATAGAATAGAAAGCCACAGCAGAGGATCGTACCTATGATCTCAGGGATGAGAGTCGCACGCTGAAGCCACTAGGCCAACACTGCTGCAAGTAATTTTAATTTGTTAACAGCCCCTAATTACATCTAAAATCGATGTCAACAATGTTTTATACTAGAATTTAGGAGGCAGCAACAGAGCAATATGTCAGGACGTGTCAAATTTGTCGTGCGGGTTTAGAAATACAATTTATCAGCACCCTAAGTGAAGAATTATATTATTGATTTAATACAGATTCCAGGTACTCTAATTTAAGTCTAGTCTAGTACTCCTTGCACGGTTACATAACACTATATTGTCCGTTGAAAACCCGCGGGACACGAGTAGTATGTAGGGCTTTTGTTTGCCTCTCACGCTTTTGATCTCATAAAATATTCACCGGCCATACTCGGCAAACGGACCTCACATAGTACGATTGCGTACACTAAGGAAAGGTCAAGTTGGCCTTTGATATTCGCAGGATTTGAGAATATATTAAGTTAATATTGTCTTTAGCGCGAGTGTCATACATAATCGAATATACACTTTAATTAAGAATTATTTGTCACATTTTATAATTATTGTAAATTGTTTTGTCCCGTGATTTACAGATGTGCAGTGATATTCTTCAATTATTTTGAGCCTGCGAAATGTTATTATCCGGTGAAGTCTTATTTCTTAAATATATTTATTGGTAATCTTTAAACAAGCTAAGTTGGGCACCTATTCAAAAGTTATCAGTGTAACGGAACGGAACAAATAAATGTAAATGTGTCAAAATACAATGCTGGTTTACGGTTTCAAATAAAATATCACTGCTATATTCATCAATGAACATAGGTTAGGTTAGGTAGAATTTGCAATACAAATCATGCAATAATAATAATGTCATCGACACATATATACGCAATATAAATAATATCATCGACACATATATACGCAATATATCTACAACTAGTTTTATATATGTTAACGTAAAATTGGAAATACCGTCAGATTGTAATCTATCTCGCGAGATTGTAAACTGTCGAAAGATTGTGAACTCAACCTACTGCTTACAATTTAACGTACTATTATTCGGTAGATTGTAATCTATCGAAGCGAAACCGTCAAATTACAATCTTAAAATTGTCAACTGTCCAAAGGTTGTCCCTGATTGGTTGGCTTTATAGTAGACCGTTATATGTCCATAAAGTTAGGAATGAAACAAGGGTATCGGTCAAATAAAATGAATGCACTTCAAAAATTAGTATTTATTACATAGTAGGTAATCAATAAATCTGACATTATATGATTAAAAAAAAATATATCAAAATAAAAAAATCAGAAACGTAACAATATTTTCTCTTCAAACACAAATTAAAATTGAAAAATTAATTAAATTGTCTTTCATTTCATTTCCAACACTAACTTAGTTATCATTCAAACTTCTTTGGTCAATCACAGGTTAATTTTACTTCCCAATAATTTGTTTGAGTTACTTTCAACACGACATCAATTTACATTCATCATAACAATCAATTTACATTCGACAACAAACGAATTAACAATCAAATATGGTGGCGCGGGGCATATTCTGTTCAACCAATCAGCGCGCGAGGTGCGATCCGTTTCACAATTTGACGGTTTCACTTCGATAGATTACAATCTACCGAATAATAATACGTTAAATTGTAAGCAGTAGGTTGAGTTCACAATCTTTCGACAGTTTACAATCTCGCGAGATAGATTACAATCTAACGGTGTTTACAATTTTACGGTGACATATACAAGCTACATAAAAATAAAAATAGTATACCAATTTGTACTTTATAATAATCTCATATTTATCTATAATATTAAAAACACTGGGTATTAAAAGCTTTAGGGTTATTAAAAATTCACGAGTTTTCTTAATATTAACTATTTAATATTTCTCCTGGCTGTGAGGGAAATTTTCTTTCTCCTCCATGTTCGGTATACATTTTTAATTCACTGGCGTATACAGCCTTCACACTTGTAATATCGATAAACCCATCGTGTGCACAACGGAAATTGAATTTACTACTCGATGGTTTCCTCTAGTCTATTCCCGTAGGAAGTTGGAATTTAATGAGGGATATTTATAGGACAAATATTAATAGCGCTAAATAGCAATCGTGTGACACAAACGTCGAAAAATTTCGCCATTTAAATTAAGAAATGAAGTTACATGTTTCAGGGTCATTCTAACTTTGTTTAAACCTTTTTGTTATGATTTTTTCCTTACCTTTTGGTACCTTTAAGTTTGTTGCCAAAACAAGACTATTAGATCTGAATAATGCATTGAGAAAAGTCAGAGAAAAAGAAATAGAAATGGAAAAATA